GAAAGAAACCACCTATATTTCTGGCTTCAGAGCAGTGTCTACAGACACGTACATCACGAAGGATATGGAGGGTGCTGGGCAGAACAGACAGGCCCACAGGGAGCGCTGAGGGGATTGCACAGGGAGGGTTTGCTTGCTCTTCATTCTTTGTGTCATAAAGCTGGGCTGCAACAAAGACCATGACTTGGGATGAAAAACAGGCAAGCACATAACATTACTGTTATCAAAACCCAAATCTTTGTAATAATTTCAATAGTGGGAACAGCAAACAAGGATACAACTTTACATCAGGCTGCCAGTGGCAACGTTTTTGGGCTGTGCAAAATAGCTGTAACAGGACATGAAGATAAATGCAGTAATGACACTGGTCTCTGTGCCTTTCTGTTGACATTTTGATTTTAAAAAAAGCAGGTAGGCAAACAACTGGCTGCTATAATGGGAGACACTTAACTGTTTATTACTTGTTTATCTAAGCAGCACCAGGTCCCCCAAAAAAGCACACCTAGGTGCTGCGTGTTAACATTGGCATACAATTTGCAAAATACAACCTACAACAGATGTCTGAACTGGACCAGTTTGCTGAAAAGGCCATTGTAGACGTGGTTTCTGCACTGCTGGAGGAACACTGGACACCATGGCAGAAATTCAAAGAGAAAGTAGGCACTGAAGAATACATAGCTGGCCAGATGCTTACTACAGGGCAAGAAAATGTAACACTGTTTTTCTTCATCAACATTTAAATATCACTAGTGGTTACACAGCTGGGAATGTGGCATTCATAGCTTGCCATGCAGAACAAAGTCGTGGAAATAGACATTGATATTGCTGCCTCTTAGCCTATAGGTGCACAAATAAACTGGCTGATGGGGCGGATTCTCTCAAAGCATGAGCTGGCAGGACAGATAGTTTGTGGAAATGAAGTTACTCTAGCAACAGAGGCACATGCAGTGAAGAAGCACAGACCATGGAGTACCTAATTCTATATGCACTTTTGGCAGATGTATGTTTTACTGAAGATTATTCAGAACCGTATGTTGGGCCCTGCCATCTGCTGAATTTGGATACGACGTCTATAAAGCTGGTGTGGAAATACACAAAAAGAAACTCTAACTTCGGGACAGAAACTGCCACTGCCTTTGTAACTACAACTGTCTCCCACAGAAAATGACCTTTCTGCTTTTGTGAAATATGTAGCCTTTCTATGCAAAAGTATACTAAGGTTAAATGCCAGCAGTTTGAGCTTGAGTTTATTTCCAGTCCCTATTAAAATGCCTCAATAGTTGATTGGAGAAGGGCCTGAGCACCCTGGTTAATAAGACCTGCTTTGAGTGGGGACCTTCAGAGGTCCTTTTCAACCTGAATTGTTGTAGAATCCAAATTATTACATCCATGCAGATGCATGCAGATGCATGAACACAGAAATATCTTTCTTAGTCAAATATGGTAAGGAAAGAGATGGATCTGCCAGTCAGGAAAACAAACAATGGCATACAGAAAGAAGAGACAACAGAGTTTTAATAGAAAGGTTGTTTATTTGGTAGAAAGTTTGCTTGTAAATACCTTTAGAAAAAAAGTAATTCACGCTGCAACCAGCCAAATTGCTGTTGAAATACCCAGTCTGGCAATTCACAGCTCCTCACAACTGAGAAGGTGGCTTTTTCCTTCTCTCTTCAAATGCAGTGGCTTCTCACTAAGACATTGATACTACTGTAGTTAGAAAATCCTCTTGTGCTTCTAATCTAATAGAGACCTATCAATTTATGCTTTGTGTTGTGCCAGAATCATTCTTATGTTGGATGTGCCTTGGAAACAAAGGTAGTTTTTGTTTAATTGAATAACTTCGCCTGAATTTTCTTGGACAATAATGCCTTGAGGCCTGCTGTCTGGCCCATCAAGAATTGTCTTGTGCAAGCCATAGTTGCTGCATTGAAAAATTGTCTCTGAACTATTGGGAATGATTCAACACTCAATAAAATCCATATTGTTTCAAAAACAGTCACTAAGTCTGTTTTAATGTGGATAAAACCAAACTCTTAAGGCCACGTTTCACGCAGTTAATGCTAGGCCTTGAACTTACATAGCCTGAGATATGGCAACTCAGCTCCACTCCGCTGATAGAAAAGAGAGGGAAAAGGCTTGTGTATTTGAAACTGCATTTTTAGCCCGAACTGTGGAACAAAATCCTGCAGGAATTAAGAACTCACAGTAGCCTCCCATTTTCTGTTCCAAGGCCAAAGTACACTTGTCTGACTTGTCATTTCTAATACAACATGTGGCACAGAAAACAGAAACAAAAATCAATCTACTTGTGAAAGTTCAGAGGCAGCAGAGGAAGGAACATTTGCCTGAGATGCCACCTTGGCATGGTGGGCACTGAGCAAGTATCTGAGTCAACTCAGAAACTGCCCCCAGCAGGCTCAGTAAAGGAAGCACCTCTGTTGTAAAGGTGAATTGGGCACTTAAGGAAATTATTCCAGAAGGACTTGAAGAATTTATTAACCTGTTCCTTGTACAAAGAAGTTTGTTCTGAATGGGTTTATCGGAAACTCTCTCACCAGCACGTTCAAGTTGCAGGCCCTCTGCGTATTGTTTGGTCTCCCAGTCAACTTCTCTCGTCTCTTATACCCTGAAAATTGTCTTCTAGTTTAGAAGGGAAGCCTCAAATTCATGTTTTTAATTTTCAGCTATGAAGCTCAGTGAAATTATTGACCTCCTCTGGACTTCTGGGATAACACATGAAGTACTACTGGGCAAACAAGGAAAATAAGACAAACAGATATAATTTCCCACATCAAAACATTTATTAACTGCATATAGTTGGTTGGTTTCTTTTCTAAGGTTTCTTTCTTTCTTTTCCTTCCTCCTTTTTCCTTTCCCTGTCCCATTTATTGTACCTTGCTGTGAGGTTTTCTTTGCAAGAATGAGTATGAATGGACCCTCATGAAAAGAACAGGGCATTGTCCTGGATTTGTACAGTACAAAGACAGAAAAAGAATGACAAGAAAGCACACCACACTGAAACATTCACAACTGAAGATGCATAAACAAAAAAATTTTATTTCCTCACACACACAGGCACTTAGTGGAATAAATATACAATGACACTCAAATCCTGCCATCTTAACCATATTATCGTAAAGCCTGAGAATAGGTTTGCCCACCTGCCACCGTGTGACCACCCTGGTATCTTTGGGGTTTTCAGCAGCTGGGAGTAAATCCCTGTCCTGTCTGTGCAGTTTTTTCTGTGTCCTCTGACAGGAGAGGTGCTTTGCTGTTGGAATGACATGGAATCCACAAGCAGGTTTTACTCACATCTGATTTCCAAAGGTGTTATAAAAGTATCCCAGCTGATTACTAAGGCAGCAAAGCACTGCTCTGTGTTGTGAAGCCACTTCTCGCTAACTTGCATTATGTGCTTGTGTTGTGTAACTGATGCCCATCGCGCGCTGACAGCTGGAGGTTTGCAACTTTCTTTGGTTTCATCTCTCAAGTCTTATGTCTTTCACATCTACAACCAGACTTGTTAAGAGCTTAAGGCATAAATCACTTGGGAGAGACTAGTGGAAAGAAAATTCAAACTAGAGCTCTTCCTTCACCAAAAACAAAAAAAACAAACACCCCCACTGACCAAAACTTGACAAAAATATTGTACTTGGTTCATTCCAAAGCTAGGAATATGGTTTCAAAAATAGTTGAACCAAACTCCACATGTAAGTGAACTTGATTCAAAGCCCACTAAAGTAAAGGTGGGCTTTTCATTAGACATAAACATTTTGGTGCCAGTTTTGATTCTGTATGAGATCTCTGTCATCTGCATGGTTTTGTATTTAACTGTGCCCGTAGCTGTGGTACAAAGTACCTATCCCAAATGCCTAACAACCAGAGCACATTAAGTTAATGGGTCAGTATCAGAGTGGCCCCTTGATGTGTTGTGCCATTGCTGCTTGTTTTTATTAACAGCTAGCTTTGTTTCTTACGGGTATTTTGCTTGCTGCCAGGAGCAGTGAATGAACCACTTAGGCTGAGCTGTGAATTACAGCTCCAAAATCAAACAAGGATCCTGCACGATAACAGCATCTGATCTAATCCTTCCTTTGCCTCTGTGCTGATAGGAAGTCAAGGTAAATTCGTGTTGAACATCTAAGTCTAATCAGCAACTGATAAGGCCTCTTTTAATAACCTGGATCCACTACAACTAGTGAGGATAGCAATCAACACAGTAGTCATCCCGTGTTGTTTATAATGTATGTAATGCACCAATGAAAGTGTGCATTTTTGACCTGGCTGTATAACACCAATGGCTGATATTCTGTTTTTCTATTCCTACCTTTAACGAAGCATTGGAGGCTTTGTTTTTAAGAGCCTCTGTTCCAAGAAAAAGGAGTGGGAAGGGTTGAATTGCAGATAGAATCTGTAGGGGGAGACAGTAACAAATAGAGGCTTTGTAAAATTTGAAGAATCTAGGCGAAATTTGTGGGAAAGTTCACGTAAACCACTGCTGCTTTTGAAAGGTCTGCTCAAAAACACAGCTTTGAAACAAACAGAAGTCAGAGATCACACCTTAGTAAGGATGGGAAAATATGGGCTTTTCCTCCTCACTAACTTAAATTTGAATCATTCACCTTGTCCAACATTTCTGTTGCTCTAAGGTGAGGATTTCTGTAACCAATGTAAAGGAGAGTAGGCAGTATAGCTGTTTATATTGGTGTGAGAGCTTTTCCCTAAGAATGATTAAGGAGAGTAGACAATCCACACCCTCAGCTGGAATCCTCCACTCCCCTCCCACATGGTACATGGTGATCAGTTCTAAGTATATACTAAATAGGTTCTGCATGTATATAAGTTTATTTTTTCAGAAACTTTTTTTAAAGAGAGTTATTCTTTGTCCACCTGCAGGCACAGGATGCCCAGTGTGAGCACCACGACATCTGAGTTTGCACACTGTCTCTCTAGCCAGTGGCAAGTTCTCTGGGCTTTGTGTCTGGAAAGGTATGGACAGATCACAGCAGTTTTGGGTTGTCATTTAGCCGAAGGCTGGAATACATTCCCACATGCCGGACCAGGTTGGGTTCTACCACGTAGGCGTTCTCCCTCTTAGTACGCAGCAGTGAGTAGAGGGCAATATCCTTAGCAAAACCCTGGCGGCAGTGCAGCCCCTTCAGGTAACCTAAGGCACGGTGGGCAGAGGGAGCGGAGAACAGCATGGCAGGCGTGCAGCACTCCGTGACCGGCACAATATTATACAGCATGGGGGTCAGCCGGCGCAGCTCCAGCATGTAATGCCGTCCCACCAGCTCTGACAAAGCCATACTGTACAAAGCAAAGAACAAGACAATGGGCCAACTGAGGCTGGGGAGCCCGGTTGCCCAGGAGTACACACAGTTCAGCACGGGCCCCAGGAACATGCCCAGACCTAGCCACTCGAGGATTCTCATGGGTTCGGGGTTGAAGTAGCGCTGAAGCCTCTCAGGATGGTAAAGCTTGAAGTAGAGTGCGTCTCTGAGGTATGGTTTGGAGAACCGTCCAAACAAGAGGTGCTGCAAGACAGCGAATATCTCCTCCTGTGGCACAGCATCATCTTCCACTACGAGGATGTATTCTGGGTTGTACGTCAACAGCGACTGCTCAAGGCAGAAGATGTAGTCCTGCTTCTCCTTCTCAAACTGGTTCATGCTGGGGTCAAGGTTCTCCCCAGTTTTGTCACGACTGACCATAGGAAAGAAGCTCCTCAGCAGCCTGACATCCTGATGGCTGCTGGGGTCTGACTCCACATTACAGAGGAGCATGCGGTGGCTCCGGCAATGTGCACCACATTTCTGGAGGAGGCGGTGGAACTGGGAGGCCACTTGCAAGACATAGTGGAAATCATTCTGCCTCTGCACAGTGATAATGGTGACCAGCAGCAAGGGCTGGAAGGCATCACGGCCAGAGGCCTCGGAAACATTTGGTATCTGCAGCTTCTGAAAGTAACGGAGGGCAGCCTGGCCCTCCTGCTGGTTCTGCTCCAGGAACTCCTGGCTCATGGGGTTCAGGTGCCAGCGCCGCAAATAGTAGTAAGAGTGGAGGAGCCGGTGGCAAATCAAAGGTGCGAGCACACCGAATGTCACCACAGTCAGTGTGAGGAGATGGATAAAAGGACTGGACCAACGGCACCACCTCCCACAGAGCTGCCGGGCTTGGTGTAACATGGCTGCAGCAGGAGGGCACCCCTGCTCTGTTCATGCCTTCGTTCCTTCACTTCCAGTGCATCCTCCCTGGATTGCAAGGTATCACTGGGGCAGTGGCTCCCAAACCTGCACAATTTGTCCAAGCCTAGAGGGGAAGAAAAAAGATGGTTAATGAAATAGGAACTGTCAGAGTGGGAAGATCGTGATTTGAGAAAATGGAAAGCTGAGGGCTAGTCACAGAGTAAGCCAAAATAAAAGGCCCCTGAGGAGTCCCTTGTGGTGGGGGCATCACAGAATTGTCATGGGAGGCTGAGTTTCCAGGAAAGTGCCCCTAAGGCCTTTTCAGCACGTAGGAGCTCTGATCTCACTTAGCTAGATAGGACTTTGTTGTGTGTCTTACTATGCTTCAAATACATAACAAACAGGCAATGTGGATGCAGGATGTGTGGAAATCCCTTTCTGTTAAAGGCAGAGAACTTAGATACCACTATGTGGTCACAGTGACATAGCAAGACTTGGGTCATAGCCAAGAACCAAAGCCAGATCTCTTGTATCGTAGCCTAGCACATACTTGAGAGACAAACTTTTACCTCTGTGGAATAACACATTCTTCCCTTCTGTTACTGACACACTTCCAAACACATGCTTTTTCACTTTACTCCCCAGACTGTGAAGCAAGATAACAAAGATACCGATTTCCTTCACTAAGGACATGTGTACACTAAGTGGAGAGAGAGAGAGAGGGAGA